TAAAGGTGCCACAGGACCCTCTGTTGCTTTTTACAGATTCAGACTAACACGGCTACCCCTCTGATACTCAATATAAATGTTAAATGATAAATCCATGAGAAGACTCTCATTGACTTTAATGGGTTTTAGGATCAGGCCCAAAGCTGGTCATGGGAGGAAGCAAATGTTCAGGGACTGCTATTTAGTATTTAAGAATAACTTCTGTGTTAGCTAGATACCATTCAAGCAGACAAGTGGCAAACGATCTAGCAGAGAGTCCCAAGAGTTTGGCCAGCAAAATTAGAAGATTGGAAATTGTAGACTGGTTGCCAAAAAAACTGTGTTTAAAAGAATATGGTCAAACAACAAAGATCTTGTGGACAAGAAATTTTAGGAAATGGAAGAATGAAACCTGGAATTATATATTTCTCACAGATGAGTCCAACTTCGAAGAGTTGTTGGATCATTTAAAGAGTGGGTGAACAATACTTTACCAAAGTGTAAATCACAGTGGTAGCTCTATTCATATTTGGGAGCTGCATCTCAAAGGATGGATAGGGCAAACAAAATCTAGAAGGGACATTTGGGTGCAGCATCAGACTCAGCTCTACCCCACCAAGATTGCAGTCTTTCTTGCGCCTTGCACCTGCAGGGATTGTGTGTCACTGTCCCTGTGGCAGCACACAAATCCCTCTGCAGCTCTGCTGTCACAGCTCTGTTCACTCACTCCCGAGGGTTCTCTGCACATTCAGCAGCAGGGTGGCCTCCCCCGTGTCTGGGGGCTTGTCCTCCTCCTTGCAGTTCAGCCCAGGGGTCTCTGCTCATCAGCTTGAGATACATGGGGGACAAGGAAGGAAATCAGATAATGCAGAGGATCAGATAATGAGGATTCGGATAGTATACTATATAGAAATAATAAGAAGCTGAAGAAATTAATCATCGGGAAGGCTGCATGTTTTGGGAAATCCTGCAAGAGATTTGGGACAATGGGACTCAAGCACGTGCTTAAAGCTAGACATGCATAACTGCTTTGCTGAACAGGGGCTTTCATGACTCTTTCACATCTATGCACTGTCTTCAGGGATGAAATTGAGCCCTGGGGCCAAAGTCTCAGCTGGTGTAAATGAGTGCAGCTCCATTGGAGTCCATGTACACTAGCTGAGGCTCTAGCCCATTATGTCTAACTTTACCCTGGTTACCCTTACTTGCTCTCACTGCTTCTCATTAAAGCTTGAGCTTGGATGAATCATCAAGTGTTTTCATAATTCATGACACTACTCTAAGTCCCTGTCAATGGGCAGAATAATGAAGATCATATTGTATATGCTTTGTATGCAAGCTCTTGGACTAATAAACATATAAATCATGTATGCAGCCCATTCGTTATCTATAGTAGACATCACTGCTATGGCAGCAGAAAACTGAAAAGGGCATAAGGAGGTTCCATCACTTTCTAAATCATTTTTTTAGGGCTTGTCTACTCAAACATATGGTTTGTGGCAAGTTGGGGTGTGAATCTACTTGCACTAGCCTTCCACAGACTTTCTATGTGGACCCTGCTGATGTACATTAACAGTTTGTTAATGTGCTTTCATGTAGTCCTATTTGAAATCAGGTGAGCAGCCGACATCATGATTTGTTGATTTAATGTACCCTCTCTATACACATGCACATAATACATCATTGGAAAGCTTATTCTGTCTACTTTAAGATGATGTATGATGTGACACTGACAAGTGGTGCCATTACCATAGAAATGGGATAAACAATAATACCATCCACAATTAAAACTTTGAAATATTTGCATTAGTTTCTGTTAGATTAATGACTCTATGTATTATTGCAAAACATAAAATTGGATTTCTTTGTGACCTCAAAGCATCACGACAACTATCTAAAGGATGAAACAAAATAGAATAATGAATTTGAACAAGTATAATTAAACTGTAATAGAGCTGGTGACATTTCTAGTCAACTTCATTATCATCTTGTTCATCATTATGGTCTCTATTGAGTGTGTGGTCTCCATTGCTTTGGCATGTACACAGTTCTGTGCAGGAAAGATTGTTCTGACTATAGACACAGTTGATTGTACAGTGAGCCCCTACTGGTACAGGAACAAATAAGGTCTTGTAGAAGCTCAGAAGCCACTGGGCCCTTGAAGAATACAGGAAGTAGTTCATCATCCACATTTTTCCATCCATGTTGCAGTGGTGATCCAATATCTTGTTCACCTATGTGCAAAGACATCCAAATCTTTGTTTGCCAATATGCTCTTTAGACATGCTCTTCAAAACTGTCCTCACATGGTAGGAGTTTGGCCAGTGACTTGTCCGTTTTGATGACTAGATTGAGGTGCAAGCTATTCAGATTTATGTGGGTGTCCTTTTCTTTCTTACGCTGGTCATACATCGCTGCTAACAATTTCCTTGCTGCAGAAATTGCAGCTTGTCTGTCACTCTCTCCCAATTTGGCAAGATCTCTGGAGCATAAAGCTCCTTTTGTTTTGACAGCATCAAACACAGATTTT